GGGAGGGGAGAAAGGGAGGGAGCGAACTACCTGGCTGGACTGCGCCTCCCATCCGTGAACAGGGACTGTGACTTCATCTCATTCCTCTCAAAGGTGTTTTAGAATTTTGAGCCCAGCGTGATCAGAACACTTTGGGTTTATGCCTAGGTATTTGGTATTTTGAGCACAACATCCTAGACAGCTTCTGCTTGCTGGGACACAGAAACGCCATCGCTCGCCACACGCTGGTTTTGTGTCCCAGCATCTTGCGAGACTCACATTCGCTGTCATCCGCTCCCTGATGTTATTCTGGATTTTCCCCCGTGCAGGATCACGTTGCCCATGACGGCGACAGTCTGTTTTCCCTTTTATTTCTCTTTCTTGCCTTATCCTTGGCTGGGACGGACGGTGCGTCCGAACAGAAACGCTGAGAAAGACCCCCGTCCCGTTTCTGACCTCCCCCTTCTTCCTCCCTCATTGCCCCGCGCGTGCCCCAACCTCCCGGACCCACGGGCTCGCGGCAGCGATGCGGACGGGACAGCCGGGATGCTCTCGTGAACGTGAAAGATCGGGGTAAGTGCACCCCCGGAACTGTGCTCGGCACAGGGGTGTCTGATGCGGGCGGGGAAGCCACGGGAGCGGGCAGCACACTCTCCCCCCCACTGCGGACCCAGCGCCTGGCGCGGCCGCGGCACAGCTGCTTTCTGACTCGCGGTCACAGAGTCCGAGGTATGCGACAGCAGTGATAATTCAACTCTCCGTCCCAGCCAATTTCCCCATCCATTTTTATTTTTTTATACAAGCTTTTTATTTTAGAACAGTTGTGGATTTCCAGAAAAATTACACACAGCACGGGGAGCTGTCACATTGCCGCCTCCCCCGCGGGGAGCATCTCCCGTGGGCATGGCAGCCCGAGCTCCCCTGAGCTGAAGCCCGGGGACAGGGACGGGGCGGCTCAGGTTTCCTGTGCTCCCTGCTGCCCTCTCTCTGTCCCAGCCGCAGCCCGGGATCCCACAGGACTCCCTCTGCGCTGGGATGCTTCTTCTGACCTCTCACGTGGGATGAGAGGACAGTGTGGAGGGGGGTCAGGTACTCTGGGGACTGGCCCGCCACTAGGACTTGTCCAATGCTCTCCTCATCACGTGACATCACACACCAGCAACATGACCGGTCGCCGGGGCTGGTCCCCTCGGTCACCGGGCCAGCCTCCCCACTGTAAGGTGCTGTTTTTGTCCCTGTCCACACAGCACTCTCTGAAACGAGGCCGTTCTGCGGAGCCCGTGCTGCTGAAATACTGTGGGCAGCCCGTAGTGTCCACTTCCCAGGATTAGCACGAGGGGCGCGCTCCCGGGGACACGGCGAGGAAACACCAGACACAGAGGCAGCCTGGCCCCCGGGTCCCGAAGGAGAAGGTGGCAGCGTGGTGCGGAGGGCAGGGCTGGGCGGAGCTGCACCTGAGCCACCTCGCCCTGCGAGCTGGAGCCGGCCTTCAGTGCCACCGGCCTGGCTCCAAGCCCGTGCCGCCCGCGCCCAAGGCGAGACCCCGGGCTGCTCCGTCTATGCTTCTCTCAGGCCACCCTGAAGACGTGCTGAGAACGAATCCTGTGTCTCAGGGCCTACCCTGGGCCTGGGGAGCAGTCAGCAGACTTTCCAGCAGGAACAATGACGGTATTCCTTCCCTCTCGCCCATCCCCCTCCCCGTCATCTAATCCGGGGTGAGCTCAAATCTAAGAGGGAACATGCCAGAATGTATGCACAGGAAGGGGCTCCTCCCTACAAAGCGCGTGAGCTCCAGTCTGAGTCTTGGCCGGATCCTGGCTTGCCCTCTGCCGCCGGGTCTGCCGTGGCCCCACACGCGCTGTGACGAGCAGGGGTTCTGGGGGCGAGGGGGCACTGGCTCCTGGGTGCCCGCTGGCCATTCCGCCAGGCAGCCTGGAGTCGGAGCGGCCGTGACACGCTGCGTTCCGAACGAGGGCCGCAGCCCAAGAGGGAGGCATCTGGGTCCTTCCTGCCCTTCCAAATCTGGAAGCACGTGCGGCTCGACGAGAAACTGGGGCCGTGGGGGTAAAGGCGGCTTGTCCCCAGGTTGGGGGGCACCAAGTCGTACGAGTGAGTGCCCAGGGTCTCACGTTGAACAAGAGAAGCCCTGGGTTCACGTAGAAACCTACTTAACACGGAAAGTCGCATCCCTGCCGCAGGGACACGTGTGCTCCTGTGTGTGTCGGTACGAAGCTCGACGAAGGAGAAAGGCTTTCAAGACATGGGCGAGCCTTCGTAGGGAGGGCCGAAGCTTGGGAGGCTCTCCTGCCTGGTGGCGGACGGCTGGTCTCTGGCCTGCGTGAGGATGGAAGGCCAGGCCGCGAGCAGCACAGCTTCTGGCCTATGGCACGCAGCAGGTGCCTGCACGGAAGCGCCACCGGAGGGGTTCGCCCCCCTGAACCCCGCCCCCATCTTCCGGGGGGCGCGGTAGGAACACGTGAGAGTCAGTGTGGGGTCACTGGGGCCTGGGCTCAGTGCCAACGTCAGCGGGAGGCCAGCAAGTCCCCGCATCTAACCTGAGAGAGTTGCACGATTAGTGACCTGGAAGTCGGACCCCCCTGTTCAATGAAATTCTAAAAGGGGGCTCGCTACGCTGAAATGTCCCCGCTCAGAGACACGGAAGTGATTCATCAGGCAGGCAAAATACTCAAATTCCCTCAGGCCCCCCATGACCTGAACCCACTCCCCAAAAGGACTTGGCCTCCCCCTCCGCCTTCCTGCCCTCTGGGCACCGCCCGCCCTGGCACAGCCCACCCCCGGTGGTGCCCGAGCCCGGGGAGGCCAGCACCCCCTGGACGGCGCACCCCTCGGACGGCGAGCCAGCGGGCACTCCCTGGCGAGTTCTGCCTCCAGCAGCAGGTGCCGAGTGTTTCTTTTCCTCCTCGCGCGAGTTACCGAAAACTACCCCAGTTCTGCAATAA